ACGTAATTCGGTTAGCAATCTCGAAGGTTGTCAAACTTTTAGAGCTAGACAGTTACTGACCATGGGAGCGGCCGGGTCATTTCGTAGATGCGTTATTCTAAAACGTGCATTACACATAAAAAGTGCCAGATATGTTGCGACCCTATGCACTCCTTATCCCTGAGACGGGGTAGGCGTGGCATTCGAACATGGCACAGAACTGGTTACTCGTGGGATATTTCAATTTGAGACAACCGCCATCTTGTTCTTTGTTGGACAGAGACGTGACCACATTTGGGTCAAAATGAAAATATCTCTCCAAAAGCATAGCCACCACGACGTTTAGTTGAAGTACGCAGCCACGCCTACCTCATCTCAGGCATTTCGAGTGTATCTATGTATGAACGCAAGGGTGACGTGTTGCGTTCATGATGTGTAGGATACGCCTTAGTCTCCTTTCGTACTACTTTTTTGATAACTTTTCTCTCTGATTCCTTACTCGTGCAGCCGTGTTTCGCTTCTCTAAATACCGGTCCTACCTCTGCTTTTCAGTCAAAATGCCTTCCACAGTTTTTTTTCAGTACTTTCTGCTTTTAACATCCACCAGTTCGTAAATATACCACAGTCGCTGCACTGTATCTTTGTGTACAGCACATCGCAGCTGGGGAGGGGGGCAAGTCGTATTTGGTCGCCTCCCCCTCCCGCGCTCGACGGAAAATCTTTGGGTGAAAAACTGGAAAATGCGGGAACTTTTGTAAAAACAGGTAGGAAGCTGTGAACTTGTAGAAAGTGGTAGGTAGGTGCTGGGGGAGGGGGAAGATGGTACCGAAACCTTCCTTCGAGGGGGGGGGGTCGTACTGGCACCACCATTTCACACATCGCGCTGGCACCACCATTTCACACATCGCGGTGCTGTAACCTGACCACAGTGCCCCCGAAGTGCAATCACAGAATGTGATGTGCAAACTCAGTCTTACAATTTTTTTCAAGAACTTGAACTTCGAACAAGAGGAGGTGGTACGAAGCAAATAGTAAGGCGAAGGAGAATCGAAATAAGCATGACCCTTCATTTCAAAGGCCTGCATGAACTTCTCTGCTCGACTTCCCCAAGCTTGCTCATTTGTGCGATGATGTTTAAATTTCTAGCGAAAATCACCGAAGTTATAAGTCAAAATGTATATTCCGTGTATTATATATTAATGTATTATATATTATTTGTAGTCAAAATGTAAAGAGATTGGATTGCCAGATAACTGTTTTACACCACAGAAGTTCACGCTACGATTTTCAGAAGCCACCCGAAAAACCTATATTTAAGGCAGCCGAACACAAGTAAAAATGCAATGCAATAATAGCAACGGCAAACTGGGTATTTGCAAAATGCATTTCAAATAACACAAAAGATTTAAGAACAAGTGCAACTGCCTGGATTATGTAAGTGGTTCTGGATGCAAATAAAGTACAGTATAATTCGAAAAAAAACAAACATAGTAAGCGAATTAACTCACTATACGACCCAGCAAATGCGGCAGCAGTGAGACCGAGGAGGAGGTGCAGGAGCTGGAATGACAACGAATTATCTTAACATACATATGCGCTTTGCAAAGAGCTCATGTTAACTTTGGAATGACTGATGATAGCATATGAGCACTCTGTCTTGCTATCATTATCCTAGTATATATAATCCGCTAAGTTTGTCTGTTGGTGTGTGTGTGTGTATGTGTGTCTGTATGTGTGTTTGACCGGAAATTCATAACTTCCTTCAAAACAGCGACTGTGCGCTCAAACTGATAAGTGATGTAGGAGGTCGGGCAGGAACACTATTGGTAGGTGGCAGGAAGTGATAAGAGCTGATAAGATACCATAGGGGGTCTTAGAAAGCGAGGGTCGCCAACTCCATAACACGCGTCACAGCGACGCTAGGACTTTGGTTCCAAGAGGCAAGATAGGGGACAGGATGGGAACATTATTGGTGGTGGCAGGAATTGATAACAGCTGATAAGATACCATAGGGGGTCTTAGAAAGCGAGGGTCACCGACTCCATAGCGCGCGTCACAGCGACGCTAGGACTTTAGTAAGTATAGGGGACAGGATGAGAACATTATTGGTGGGTGGCAGGAATTGATAACAGCCGATAAGATATCATAAGGGCTCTTAGAAAGCGAGGGTCACCAAATTCATAACACCGGCCACAGCAACGACGAGACATTGGTTCCAAGAAGTAATATAGGGGGCAGTATGGGAACATGGTCGGTGGCAGGAATTGATAACAGCTGATAAGATAGCCAGGAAAATTCACAGCAGAGTCATAGCAACACTGGGAACTGCTCCAGCAAGTAATTCAGAGGTACTTAGGGAACATTAAAGGTGGGAGATAAATTCTGACAGTGTCCGACGAGGGCTTTTGGGTCCGTATCTGCTCACATCACCGTAGCCAAAGAATGAATGGGCGAATTCTTAATGAGTCAAGATGTTTTCCCTTAGCAAAATCCCTCAGTTTAGCGGTCGGAATTGCTTCCACCGCTAAACGCTCCCCGAAAAAAGGATGTTTGGAGTTGTTGCCCAGTGAGGAATGATAAGAGCCACTGTGATTTCGATATTTTTACCATCGGAATCCTTTCCAACCGCTATGCTGTCCGATTTCCAACGAATGGTGATTTTAGAAATATGATATGAGCCTAACATTGGCAAGTGTTCATTAAAAGGGAGAAACATGATGAAATGGGCCGTTTTGAAACAGGAATTAGGCTAAGTGTTACTGCTCAGCACAGAAATCCTGTCAATTATCAGTAACATAGGTTTAACCCTGCGCGCAGAAATGCGCGTCAGCCAGACTGGTATAGTTATAATGCGATTAGGATCAGGGCACGTGGTACGTTCGAGATGCCCAGCATAGAGGATCGTATTGCCTCCGGAAAAAAATTTAAAGAAAAAAAGAAGAAAGAAAAAAAGAATTTTCCCGTTTTTTCTCGTGTCACGTGAGCTTATATTGACACCCCTGCCCCTCCCGTCTTTCCACTCGACGTCACTTTTTGGGAAAAAAACGGAGTTTTTTTGGAACTATGGGAAAAAAGTTTTATAACGCTAGTGCAAGTATAGGTAGGATGGAGTAGTACCAGAGGAGGAACTTCTGTGAGGGTTGGTGGTTTGCGAGAATTTCTTCAACAGAAGGACGTACCTTGATCAGGATGTAGTCCTAGGACAAGCTGAGAAAAATTTTCACTGCTTTTCATGTTGTCACCACAATTTTATTTCGACAAGTAAACAATTTTCTCAGAGCTCCTTCATACAACAGGAGTGCTACTTTTGCAGCTCTTTTTATCCCTTTTATTTATGCCTTTCCTGATGGTGAGCCTCAGACAAGGCTATCATTTAGCTACCATTCACACATTCAATTGAATGGAATATGTCGCATAGCAAAAATGCTGCGAGGTTCCTTGGAACCCAAGTAAACGAACAACTCAGATATCTGAGAGACACGTCTAAGAAGTTAAAAAAAACAAATCTCGCCGGCGGAGCGTGCGAGGCAGTCCGAATGACCGACTCCGTTCTCCAGTTTCAGGCAAGTTTTGCAGGCGCTTTAAGGCTCTCTTTAGCTGAGAAGGAGGGGCACCAGGCACTTCGTTGTTGGGAATTCCCTAGCGGGGGGAGGGGAGGGTCGTAATGAGTGGGGCAGTTAGTAACGAGCAGCGCAAAGGTGTCAGTGTGCTGAATCCTGTATAGCGAAACTTGTTCAATTCCAGATACCACGAGCAAATGTGCCGGCTGTCCCATTCATTGCATATGGCATATTGGTTTCGTAGGTACGAAAACGTACCTTCAGACTTATTGTTAGGCGAAAAACGAAACGAAAAACAAAAAAAAATGAAAACTGAATTTGAAGGAATAGTCAGAGGTTCCTTGAAACGAACGTCAAATCCTCATATTTTCGACATCGTAGCTACCAGAAAAGCGAATCTAGTATCTCATGACAGAATTGGGAACATCCACAACCATAAGGGAAACGTTGAAACCTGATTAGTGTTCTTCTCACATGGGTCAATGTAAATCGGTATTTGCTTCAGAAATTTTTTATTTTCAAAGCTATTCATCGCTATCAAAGAGAACACAGAAAGTTGCTCTGATAAATGCAAAACGTTTTACCCGATGCATAACCTAAGACGAAAGTTGATCTCGTTGTAATGGTGTGTGAAATCGGCTTTTATAACGTGATCTAAAAAGTCGAGGTCAGCCGCGATTCGCCGAGTTTTCAAACAGATGTTTTCACTTAGCTTTTGGAAATGAATAGAAGAAGTTACGTCACGGCACTTTGCAAACTGCAGCACCGTAACCGTAGGCACTTCGAACGGCTTTCTATGCGGCTTTAAATACCTCTTTTGGGCAATGGCTTTCGTGTAAGAGCATTGCAATTGATTATGGAAATGGCCTCGTCGTTATCAAGGTTACGGTTTATAGTTGAAGGTATTGTTCATAAAAAGTTTTATCGCCACATTATCCGCCTGTCTTGTTGTTTGTTCAATCCCCAGCGATGGGGTAGCATCGACTGTGACGAAAAACAGAGGCGAGGCGAAAAGAAAGCAAAACGAGCGTCCCGTTTTCGCTTACTTTCGCCCATATCATTGACGATGTCACCTCTCTAGGTACCTTGTAGATTTTGAGCCTTTTTGGCGCTTCTCTACTATTACTTTTGCGAAATGTCAAAAGAAATTGCGCTAAAACTCTGCCTATTCGGTGTGTTGGTCACGAATAGATATTCATTTTTGGCGCTGGCTCACCCCAAATGGCGCCGTTGCCCGACCAAGTTTTTCACCAAAATCTATGAAAACTTGCATAGTAGGATTGGCTGATAACCCGATCACAAAAGGGACATTCATTTTTCGACACCAGCGCAATAGAGCGCTCTGCCAAGATTGAGCCTGGGACGAGGAATGATTCCCTCTCCACCAGGCTCAGCCTCAGCGAACGCAGATGATCAGACTGCTTTACACTGGGTGGGTGCCAAGAATTAATGTCATATTCGTGATCAAGTGACCCTCGTATGCCAGTTTTCATAAATTTTGCTCAGAAAAATGACTCCACTTAGCACCAGTTTGGAGCCAAGTAGAGCCAACATCAAAACCGGAGCATGATATTTCGTGATCAGGATATCAGATAAGGCTCATGTGCACGCTTCCTGTTTTGATGAAATAGGTGAAAGCGCCGAGGTAACACTTAGTGCACCAAATGGCGCCAGCGCCAGAAAATCTTAATCTTATTTTATTTCTTATTTTGAATCTTATTTTCGCGATTAGGGCACTGGATAAGAACTGTGGGCAAAGTTCCAGAAAAAGTTTTTTCTGAGTACTGGAGTAGTATTAGTGGAATAGTGACTCTCTTCCAGCTGGTTCAGTTAGTAGAGGGTCACTATTTCACAATTAGACTCAGACTTGTTTGAAGGATGGTCGTCGGACTTTTGCCATCAAGGTGCTAGGGATCACCCTTCCACATCTAATCATAGTCGTTAGGCTTATTACTAGTACTGCTGGCATGGATATGTCAACTGCACAGAACGGTATGTACAATAGATTTATTAATTAGGAATCTACACTTTCTCATCACTTTCCGTCACGGCTTTTTTCCATTTGGTGTTCACAGCTATAACGGTCTTGGTGTGGCACATAGGCACTACAGTCAGCATCGTTCGCTCAGGTAAGTTCTTCTTAGCCCTGATGAGCACCAAAACAGCTCTCCTCAACCGCCTAAAGAAGTGACAGTTGAAACTTTCGTTGCAAACAGTGGACTCGTACAATCAAGTCATGTAAGATGCAGAAAGTCCTCATCTTCTAATTGTTTATGAAGAAAAAGCATGAAATTTTCCTTTTTCCATCTTCACTGCCCAAACCATAAGTGAGTAAGACACGTTACATTTTCGGACTCAGGGCACATCATTGTTGGGGATTCTCCAAGGGGGGGGGAGTAACTGGAAATATTAATAAGTCGACATCATCACGTAAGTAGTTATGTGGCTAAACAGTACAACTCATACCCTGGTCCGCTGCGGATGATGGGGCGTGACCGAGCGACCGCGTTTGGCGCTGAGCCAACCTGTCTTTTTTTTCTTACGACGAAAGACAGGACTACCATATCGTTCGTATGCGTTCGTATCAGACGTTTTCCAGCTGTTGGTCTCCTTTATCAGAGTCAGCAATTGGCGGAGCACAGATCTGGCGGCGTCGGACACGGACACGCCCCATCATCCGCAACGGACAACAACACTGTAAGCAAGTGCCATGGAACTCTCTGAATCCTGTGAACATATGTGCTCGTGTAGACAGGCACTGTGTGGAACTGCACCATCCCATTACCTCTGCGTGGGAGCCTAGGCATGGCGCATCCATAAATGAAGCTAATGGGCGCTAAAACACCTACTGCTTGCTCTTATTTCACGAAGGGATGCATTCCAGATGCATCGCTGTACACCCTAGTACGCTCGCTTGAAACGGTACACAGAAAACGGTATTTTTCGAGCAGCTCGGAGTGCTCCCTAATAAATCCCCAATCAATTATCTCAATATTCCGGAAACTTCACAAACAGCCTGAGCGGTTTTAGAAAAAAAGGAAATCTTCTAGTATTTGACACTGGTTTTAGATTTGCAAATTGTTAAGTTTCAAGGAAAATATCTTCGTTCAAATCAGGACAGTTTGCATTGCATGCATCCCCAATAGATCCGCAACCTGAGTTTCACTGTGTGGCGACCTTGATAAATATATCGGTGCTTTTCGGCCAGCCCAAACCTTTTTCTTCACTGCGTTTTCCTCTTCCCACTGGTCCGCCACAATTGAGGAGAGAAAGTTATGGCGGAAAAACGCTCCCCATTCCAACCACCGCGACCACCTTGCGGCCTTGGTCCTACCCAGAATCCATTCCAATCCATTCCTCGGCCGTTTTCCAGCTGGTTGCGGCTATTTCTGTGTCCTTTGTTTGTTCTGTTTTAATTTTTTTGTTTTTTTTTTTTGTTTTTCTAATGCGGTACAGAATCTCTTCCACTGGTGGGCCAAGCGATATTGATTCGTATCAAGTGTGTTCGCCATTTCGGAATTTCTGTATTTCTCCCAACCCGCTTCTTTCTTAAATCGATAGTCTTTCTTCAAAGTTGTCAAGCATGAATGCGACCTTAGGCTTTGTAGGGTGGGGGGGGGGGGAGGATCAGCACATTCGCTATTTCACATCCTCGTATTCATTGCTTCACAAAAGTTGACAGGTATTCCTCCAAACTTTGAGTGGTATCACTTTATGCCTTTACAACTTAGAGCCGTCATATAGGTATGCCTAGCTCGAGCTCAAAAAAAACAAACAGTGGAAACGACTCCCTTTTCACTGGTTTGTTTTTTAGGGGGGGGGTCGTACCGAACCCCTCCCCCCAAAAAAAAGGAGAAAGGGGGAGGGTCGTACGGGCTCGACCAAAATCCTCAACTAATGCTGTGCCTGTTCCGGGCTGTTTAGTTTGTTGTTGTGTTCAGTTTTCCATCACGGCCGTACACTCCATCGCTATCTACGCATGCTGCCAATGTCCAGGCAATTAATACTTCTTTGCGTGAAGAAGCGTGGGCATTTGTTATCAAAGAACGGCTGAAAGTCCAGTGTGAGGAGGGTGTGTGATACGCTGCGGAATCCCTAGCTGGAGGTCGTATTCGTCCCTAGTGGGGGAAGAGACGTGCGGGTTTCGTGTTTTTTGGCCCAAGATTTTTCTTTGACTTATCTTCATTATTCACGGCCGCATGTCCAGGAACTTTAAGAACGCCATACTGGGGGAGGAGGAGGTAGCCCTCTGGACTTTGAAAAATCTTTTTTCGCGTACGGAAATTTTTCCCGATTCATTTTACTTTTCGTGGTTTTTTGAGAAATGAACAAAAAGGCGGAAAGTGGAAGGACTCCTATAGCTGGGCATGGGGAAGAAGCGTCTCACTGGAGGACAAACATTAGTGATAGTCGTATCTTGCAAAAATTATCTTAAACCACGGGACTGATTCTGAGGTCGTCTTTGTCGATGCAGTAGCGTAGTGCAGCAGGGCTTCTATCAATTGTTCTTCATGAATGATGCGACAACAGTATTAGCGTCGACTCGATTTCAGGCTATTTGTGGGCGTCTGGGTCGATCGTCTTGGCAGCGAGATGTGTTAGCCAACCATCCATCGTCAGGACAAGCCTTTTAGAGTGGTAGGTGTCCTTCACACTAAGATCAAGCGATAAGCTGTCGTACTTCATAGCTTCATTGTCGAAAGGATCTATCGAACTGATTTGGAAGTAAAGATCCTAGTCTCACTATCACTTAACGTTTGCGGCAGTTTTCGACATTAAGTTCATGTTTCTTTTTTCAAGAGCACCTTCTGAAGCAGCTTCACTGGGAAATTATGCTCACCTGTTCACTGAGAGGTAGATGAATGGATTCAAACCGACAATAAAGATCCATGTTAAAATACTGAAGAAGTTTGTGACGACATTGGCATCATTCCACACGTCGATAAAATCCCAATAGATGAAACCAAACACGTATAGTAATGAGACGCAAAAATGCTGAATCGTCAGCACCATTTCTGACAACTTCAAGGATCTTTTCCTCTGTAAAAAAACATGATTTAGTCTTCAAATGTCCTTGAAGTCTCGCTGTTGTTCAATTTATAACGGGAGTATTTGCGCAGCACTCTCAATGTCTAAAATCAAAGAATTTTCGTTCTTGAGTTCGCATTTCTCATATAGCTCAAACGCTTATCAATACAAATATCACATATCAATACAAATACCAGTTAGTACCCGTACCAAAAGTTCCTACCAGCTAGGTGTGGAATCTGTTGTATCTTGCCAGCGGAAACCAAATCAACCATACCACTTATCTATGCATGAAAGAAACTCTATCAGCCTAACTTATTACAACTCTTGTATCTGTTCCTGATGGAAAAGTGGACAGATATTCCTCCCTCTCTCCCCTCCCTCCTCGTTCCCTGCCAACCACCACAACGGATATTGCGGTCACGGAATAGCACAACTGTTGACAGGTAGCACGATAAATCCCCAAGAGGTGGAGGACTAAAACGTCTAGCGGAATCGAGGCAGAACTTGGCGCCTCTGAGCAGGCGATGCGTGGCGCCCGTACAGCACCCTAGCAAGCTCCAGCACCTACTCGCACCGCTTCCGCCCGCCCACAAATGTCCGGCAGATGCTGATGCTCGTATCGCTTCATTTGAACAGCACAATATGAAGCAAAGGGATTTGATATAAAGCGACTGCTGTGCTGCATGGAAAGATGAGTACATATGTACATACAGCCGTATCTACCGTAGCGGTTAATGGCACGGAACTCGTCCGAAACTGCTTTCCGGGTCGTGTAGAACAAGGGCCTTCATTGCGGGCTTTTGCTTTTGCTTCCTCGCTTTTTCGCCGTTCTCCCACTGGATGGCACCCCTGCTACCATTCTAGACTGAGTACCAAATTGTCGTGTCCTATGCCTTTAATACGTGAAAGAAAAAAGTAACATTGACATTGATAAGACAAACATTGATGAAGAAAGACAAACATTGACGAACAAGGCAGAAGTACTAGAAGAACGGTATCAAAACCTTTCTCGAATTGCTTCCAATTACACAAGAATCATATCAGTGAAATTTCGGGTGCAAGTCAGACGAAAAACTCACTCGTACCAGAATGTTGGCAAAAATGACGGTATAGGCAGTGACTGCACATATAACCTCTACCACGATGCCATATGTACCAAAGTAATGTGACAACCGGGAAAGTATCTGAAAACAACAACTGGAATTGAAAGGCCATGGTTTAACAGCTTTAGGTCAAAACTAGAGACCCTAGCATACGCTGGAAAAGGTGAACGCGGGGAGCTGAGGCTTAGACTGGCCTTATGAAACTGGTCTTGTAACTTCTACTCACCGATGACAACCTTTGAGAAAGTGAAAGTACTAGAAACTCACATAACTATCATCTTTTGCGTATGTCCAAGAGAGGTCCGTCATGTTGAAAATATAACTAGAATATGGTGTCAGCTTTACAACCCACGCAATAAGAAATATCATGAAAGCCAAGAAATACATTATCTGAAACACCTGGCGTAAGCCAGTAAATCGACTGTTTAAAACACAACTACAACAATCAGAACGTTCTTGGGCTTTCTTGTAGGTTCTCCAGCTTGAGGTGTTATAAACGCTTTAAAGGACGCCCCGGTAACGACAAAAGTTGGTGCCGTCGCCCATTAGACATCCTATCGGGAGAAATGGCGGCACAAAGTCAGAAGAGCGAACCTCGCGACAGAGCGGGTCGCTGAAGAATAAGGAGTAGACCCATTGTGACTTTGAGGGTGTCCTTGCAGGCGACGACATGACTTTCTTCTGATTTGTGGTACACGCGATGTTGAGTATTCATTATTATTACTGGTGATTATTCAGCGGTATTATTTTCACTGAGGCGGAGGTGGTGTAGTGACAAGGGCGCGCTTACCACTCGCGCGCGGTCCTAGGTTCAAATCCTAGGTCGACTCTCGCCCAGGCCAACCAAGCCTTCTACACCGGGGACGGTAAGTTGGTACCAGATTCGTCTGGATGGATAAGAACACTGACTTGTCCTCGGCCGGCCACCTCAAGTCATTGTATAGGTGACATCCATTCAGTAGGTCACTTCGATTCTGAATGGAAGTATTGGGTCGGCCCATAAGTAATGGCGTTTTTTTCTCACCCGAAATATCGCGCTAAAGATGAAAAGTTTTGCCATTGAGTTCCATATTGTTTTGCAGAGAATTCCTTGCCATAGAGGATAGTCTTGTTAGTTTTCTTGCAGTTCTTGAAGTTGAGGCAGTCGCCCCCTCCCCCCAGGGGGCGCCCCACGCAATTGCACTTTACAAGGTCAAATTCCCATTCCTTGACCGCTTGAACTGAATTCAAGCTGTCATATATGGCCACTCCTTGGCCATATATGTCACAAGTTTTGAGCTTCTTCTGTGATTTGAGAGCCGAGATAAACTGCAAAAGCTGTTGTCGGAAAATCTTTTTTGGGTCGACTCGACTTTTCATTTCAATGGAATAAAAATCGACAAAAATCAAGAAACAGTAGGAAGGCAACTGCACTATCTTATAGAGCAGAAAATTATCTATCAAATAGTGTAGAACACATTGGGAAAAATTGTCATTTCCATATAAAAGTTTGCGTGAGAAAAAAACATTACTGTGCCATTATTTATGAGCCAACCCAATAGAATGCGTGCCACCACAGAGGGAGTGTCAACAGCGAAGGATTTATCCTTTCATTATTCATATGGTTTTCTTGTTTTTACTATTACTGTTAACACCACTTTATTCACTGTAAGCCTTTCTCTGGAATCGCTGTGCTTTTCTTCAGTACTACAACTCTACGAGACTTCCGATATTGTTTTAAAGTCTCCCTTTTAAAGTCTCATCCAAGATAAATCCGTCTTCGGTGGTTACGTTGCGAACATTTTGTACAGAAATAAACTAAGGTTCTGCTGAAACTCCAGAAACCAATGAGACCTACTTTGACGTTTCGCCGCTCGAAAATAATGCTATAATATGATGCGAATACCACGGATATGAAACGGTTTAGAGTTGTGATAATCGAGAGGTAAAGCATTGAAAACCAAAGAGCATAAAGAGTTGAGCCAAGGAACTGTAACATGAACATCACGCTGTTGCTAATATATTTGATTTTCATGATCTGACACCCTAATTGAGTTCCCTCAAATATCAGTTCAGAGGCATAAGCACGATAATGTGGTGTACTATGTAAATTGGTAGCAGAGCTGTCTATATAGTGGGGAAAATAGCGAAAAAGCGAAGTGAAACGGTCAAAAACCTGCTAAAAAATCCTTTTGTTCCTATACGACTCAGAAAGCCACTCGAGTTTCCTGTTGGCATCGTGCCAGTGACCGGTACGGTTGATATAGATGCAGAGAAGAGATAGTTCTGGGCGGGGGACCACGACACTCGACTGCTGGGCCTGATAGTCTCATACACCCCAATGTGTTTGAGCGTACCATGTGTCTTTGAAAGTAAGTGACACGATAAATTCCCAGAATGTGTACGATTAATACGGTCGGCAGGACAGATTCCAGCGCAACTGGCTAAGCGCTCCGTAGCGCTTTTCCCAAGGAAGGTGTCTTATATTAGGTTGTCCGGAAAGTTCTCAGCGTTTTGTGCACCTATTTTTTGTACATTCACTGCTGATTAAAAACTCATTCTGCCTTGCTTCTCAGTAGCACATCCTGTAGAGAATTTCTTGCGCTATCTGATGGTATAATTGCCGTTTCACCATTGCTTGATGAACCCCCTTTTTTCAAGATTTTTTCAAGCATGTGAAAAGAGCACTTCGGACGATTTTTTTCTTCGACTATAAATTGGGGCAATCCGCAATCGAAACAGCTCAACAAATTAACCAGGTGTGGCCCAATAGTGCTAGAGAAAGCACTGTGCGGCAATGGCTCAACAAATTTCGTTCTGGAGATTTCAGCCTTGAAGATGAACCTCATAGCGGTCGACCTAAAGCAATATCTGACGAGGATTTTAGGGGGATTTTGGAGGCTGACCCATCCCAAACAGTTCGAGAGATAGCAGAAGAGCTAGGCTTGGCAAATCCACTGTTGCAGATGGTCTGGAACGCATTGGGAAGGTGAAAAAACTCGACAATTGGGTGCCCCACAATCGGAGTGACCGGCAGGAATCGGCACGTCTCGAGGTTCCTTCTGCATTGCTTTTGCGCAGCAGAAACGACCTGTTTTGGACCGAATTGTCACCTGTGATGAAAAATGGGTCATGTATGATAACAGGAGACGTTCCGGACAGTGGTTGGATTTCGACGAACCACCGAGGTAATTTTCAAAGCCGAACCCTCACGAAAAAAAGATTCTGGTCACGGCTTGGTGGTCATCGGCTGGTGTGATCCACTATAACTTTTTATCACCAGGCCAAACCATCACAGCAGAACCCTACTTGAAGAAATCGACGAATTGTACCGAAAATTTTGTCAGATGCAGCCAACACTTATCAAAAGAAAGGGTCCGATTCTTTTGCATGACAACGCCCGCCCACACGTTTCACAAATCACTATCCATAAATTGAACGAATTGGGGGTTGAAGTTCTACCTCAACCGCCATATTCTCCAGACCTTTCACCAACCGACTATCACCTTTTCAAACATTTTCAGAACTTCCTTGCTGAAAAATACTTCATCAATTAGGACCAGGCAAAAAAGACCTTCGTAGATTTCGTGGATTCTCGACCACCCAGTTTTTTCTTTGATGGGATTTCTCGACTGCTGTCACATTGGCAAAAGTGTGCTGATTCGAATGGTGCCTATTTCGATTAAATCCGATGAGTATTAAAAAAGTTACGATCGTTTAAAGTGAAACACCCAAAACGCTGAGAACTTTCCGGACAACCTAATAGCACCCTATCAAACTGAGACACACTGACTCGGAAGCCCACCTTGCTCGTCCGTCCACAAATGCCCGGCCGATGCTGATGCTCGAATCAGCTCATTTGTGAAGTACAGTCTGAATCGAAGGGTTT